TTTTCTCTCTGCCTTGATTTGTTCCAAAACTTTCTCAGTTTTGTTCATTTAGTTTTGTTGACCTGATTTACATAGTTGAATCTTGATTTTCCGTGCTTCTCCTAAAAGGTGAAAAGAAAAAGACAATAAAGCAGATACACCATTTTTCTGCTGAGTGCATTTAAAAGAAAAACATACCTTTATGGTTGGACATGAGCAAGTTACATAATATTGTCAACCTTGAGGAGCCTGGAGTTATGAGGTTTCAGGGGTTTTGACTGAGTTGCTTTGATTACTTTAGATACTCAATTCAAATAGGCACGTCAAAAGAAGGTATCTTCAGTCTTTGTTGCTTACACGCTCAGTATTGTGTAACGTTACATTTTATTTCTGTGTCATGGCAACGGTTGTCCTTGTACCGCATCTCAGTACACAAGCACCTTGCTATTGACTCAGCCGCACAATTACACAACTTACCACTCTCACAGAAAATGAATCACAAATGCAGTACATTTACGGAGAGAAAAATGAATGCACCAAAAGTGTTGCCAACAATCGTTAGTCCCCATTGTTGATAAGCGATATGAAAAGATGCTGCTGTTTCAGGTGTCCGTTTGACTGAGCTGAGGGATTAACAGGAAATGTCAAAAGATCTAGACACTGTTTCAAAGCTGCCTTCATAATGCAACAATGGGGGAAACGAAGCATGGATCAAAGGACTTCTTGCTTAAGCTCCTTAAAAATTTCCGGACAGGTTCAGGATATTTTTGGATGGTCTAAGAAGAGGTCTTTTGTCCAACGCTACTGACTGGACAACCAGAATAGATTAAAACGGTCCTGAGATGGTCCGGTGCTGAGAAGACTTTCTACCCCTTGCACTCATTAAGGCTCCCGGTTACATGGAGCACAAGCAGGAAACAAATGAAAATAAAGATCTGTTTAAAGAACAAAAAGCTGTTATGACAGATGTACTGAATTTAAAGTTACATCACTTAAAGTTACTCTCAGGTTATGTGTCTCTTTGGGTCCGAGCTTTTAGGCACTGAGAACACAGCAAATAACTTTCAGAAATGTTTTTTAAAAACTATTTGGTTCTAGTTGCACAGTGAGACCAGGTCGATGCAAGCTGACCCCATGACGGTGAACACATTACAAGTCAGGCTTTGACAGTCCGGCTGTGGCTCATAAAAACCCTTTTCTGACTTTAAGGTGTCGGCAACACCCAGACATTTCATTAAGCAGTCCCTTGTCCCTTTGATCAATAGTATGTAGCCAGGCGTAGGTGTCCGAGATTTGTTCGCCCATATGTTTCCCTTCATTTCCCCCCGAAATAATGATAAGCAGTCTTTTGGGGAGAGGAGCAGTCAGCTGGGTGGGCTTTTGCGCCCCTGTGGTGGCATTGAGTTGTGCCGAGGCCATTTGTCTGCTGCGATTGCTGTGTACATCCCTCTGGAGCCCACGTAGAGAAGAGGCCCCCCAACAGCAGGACGCCAGCCACAATATAGCGTGTTTTCACCCCTCAGAAGGAAAAGAGAAGCAGACAGACAATTGTGCACGCTTCCTTACAAAGAGCACAGGAGGCAACTCCCAAAAGCCGTGGGAACGTCTTCCTCCCCTGCCCCTTCGGTCTTCTGCTACAGCACGATTCTATCTCATGCTTCTAACGTCCTCCTTTGTGCCTTTTTTTAGACAGATTAACTACTCATTCAGCGAATACAGGCTCAGATCAAGGTGCTCTGCTCCCCATACAGTAGAAGTGACTTAATTGCTGTAATCATGTTTTTCCTCTTGAGGTTCCACATGTAGAATAATGAAGAGCTTTGTTACAAACCCACTGAGGATGTCAAAGAAGACAGCCTAATCCTGCTCACAGCCTCGGGGGAGCTTACTGCAGGCCAGTGACAGATAGAGGGCAGTAAATTTAAAGTGAGCTCTTTCTTACTCTTGCGCTATAGCGCTCAATGAAAAGGGATAGTGGAGAACCCCTGAGGACTGCATTAACCCGGACAATAAAAGAGCAGACAATTAGTGTGAAACGTGTTTTCTCTGCCTTCACTTTGTATGCAAATGTGCTCACAAGGGTGAAAGTGCCCTTTGACGAAGCCCAGCAGGAGTTCATCAGAAAAAGCACTCTCTCTGGAACTTGCCTAAAAAAAGACTCCAACTCTCTGCCGAAGCTTTCTAGCCTCAAAGCTGCGTTTCAGAGAGCACTGAGTGAAAAGTTGAGTCAGGTTAGTTTGAGTCCAGTTGTGGCTTTTTGCCTACTCAACACTTTTGGCTGCAAAGACACAGAGGGATTGAGAGAGCTCTCGATGAAGGGATTTTAAAATACTGCGTCAGCAGCAAACTGACAGGAAAAGAATTGGAAAGTGTCTTCATAATGAGACGTTTCAAAGAGGCCATTCACACAAGCACGCTGTTGTCTGAAACGGATCTAGGTTCTATATATTGCATGACACTTTGAGCAGATCATATTCTTTCAGATTCTGTTTTCTCATGAACCCAATTTTTACTCATATTATCAGAATAAGTTCTCTAGTTGGTCGGATGGTTACATGCACCTCTCTGCACTATTTCAACTATCCACCGGGCGTTATAGTGAAGCAATTTCTAAAACCACAGTACATATTACAGCACTTTAGAAACAGTGAAACAAACAAGCTCACTCCATTATATTCCCCCTGAGTTGTTGCCTGCCTCCTCTCTCCCTTTTGTTGTATCTTCAGAGAGAATTGTCTGTTTCCTGCTACTGTCTTTCTCTCGACTGCAGAGAGTCCCTGACAGAAAGTTAGGGCATCTTGAGAAAGATGCAGTCTGCATCAGTCATCCCGGTTTGGCTTCTTTGAAGTGCTGTTTGCTTTGGCCTATCTTCTCATACCTGCATGCCTCCGTGGGAATTTACCTAATGGTTTCAAACCACTGCATAAGTCATACTTGCACTGCATGCATGTTTAATTAAATTGAAACTACATCACCAGTGGAGAATTTTACAACCTAAGCTGTGGCACCATTTACAAAACACATCATAGATTAACAATATTAAGGCTCATCTTGAATTTCCTCGTCTGTGAGGTTTGAAATTCTTTTAAAATGCCTAATTTTTTAACTCTTTGCATTTCATGCTGCAGCAACCTCTTTTCAGACAGATATTTGCTTATTTGGGAAATGTATTAGTACAGTACTTTTATTCCGTCATTGATATACCAGATTCATTTGGTAATCTAGCCAAGAATGTGTGATGATAACAAGCTGTTATGGACCGTCTCTGACACATCAACCTTTAATGGCAAGTGTAAGAAAATGACAGGAGAACATTAGAGAAGATCTCTGGACAAACAGGAATAGAAATAAAATACTGTTTTCGATAAAAATATGAACAAAGGGGAATTTTTATACAGCTGAAACATGTACAGCTACAACATTTTGTATCTAACTTCAGGAAATGTTAGCTGGGCAGTGAGATGTATAGATGAAACAAACCAGTTGCCCCAGTCACAGTTGTTGTGGTCTGTTTTTTCTGCTGCATGTAGTTGCATAGTGTTTGGTGTGCACTTTGCTCAGAGGATGACGTGACAGCTGTGGCACAAACTCTGCAGCAATCTGACGTTGAAGTCAAATGAAAAACTAAAATCCTAAACACCTATCAGAATTGGTATGTGTTTACTCAGGTATGCTGTTGTTGGCAGACTGGTTCCCACACCTTACATCCTGCTTTCAACTCTCTTCCCCTAACAATAGACTTGTTTCCACTCAACAGACGAGTTATTTTGAGTGTGATGGAAGATCTGAAAATACATATTTTATTGCAGTGCTGCCAAATGACTGACTGTTTAGTATCATCAAAGAAGACCGTTCCTGTGGCGCTGGGATCATGACTTTCACTGACTGATAAGACCGGCCGTAATAGCCACAGAACACCTTCCCTAAAGATGTTTTCATTTTTAATTTCTGTCTGGAACTTGTCTCACAGTAAGATGGTCTGATTATTCCAAGTGGCTGCATACCAGCACCTCTCATCCTGCCTTTGAGAAGAGGGATGATTCCCACAGTAGCTCAACCCCTCTCAGTGCTGCAGGGTAAGATAAGAACACATCATAACATTAGATAATGCCGAAGCTTTTTCTGGAACTGCCCCCTTGTCGCAAGGGTCTAAAAATTTGAAATATAGATGCCAATTAGAGTCACTCAAGCAGAATACTGTAGGATACAAAAAAAAACTTGCCACAGTTTTCCTGCTTTAGTTTTTCTCTCAGCCTCACTTTGGTGAACTGGTTGCTGGGGCGTAATCCAGAGAGCAAACGCACAGAACTGCATGTTCTGACATTGTAAATGTCTACCTTTGAACCTGCTCCTTGATAAGAGCGAATGTAAACAAAGTTTCACATTCTGCCGTGCCAGCAGCCACTTTAATGGGCACACCTGAATGCCTGGTAGACAAAACACAAATTTTTACGACGAGCTACGCATCAGCTCGTAGGAGGAAGGAAAACGTTGGCGGTATCTGGAATGGCAGCTGCGTCGACTACAGGAACTGACCTTCACATTTCCATCCTCCAACAGTGCACCTGGCTCTGAATAGGATTCCTTTACTCCTTCCTTTATTTAGTTCTGTTAACAGTCTTTACCTCTGCTTTCTGCTGATATTTCCTCATTCCAGCTGCTCTCCTGAGGGAAGGTGTAGTGTCAGAGGAGGTCTGTCTACAAGAACCAACGTCTTTAGAGACAAACCCGTCTTTATTATCTTCAGTGCAACCGTTTTCAGAGTGTTGAATTAATTTGAGCTACTTATAAGAAAAATTAAAATATAAAGTTTAAGGAGACGCAAATGTTTAAGTGATTTAGTTCTATTTCTGAGAACAGACATTTTCATTGTCCTGATGCTCATTCCTATGCATGGTTGATTTACAGATTAAACTTTTAGGTTTTCACATTTGTTGGTGTTCAGCACATGAAAGTCTTGCAGACAATTCCCTGATTGTTTCTGCCACATAAATTTGAAAAGATGAAAGCTGCAGGACTTGGAGAGGGATATAGAAATGGTGTGTGTGTGTGCAGCCCACCAGATTGTTTGAAATGATGATAATCACCTTAATGACAATGGCTCCTCTGTTTTCCCGTTGTTTGATTTTTGATCAACCACTCGCTATCAATACCTTAGTGCCAAGTGCTTGAATATTCGAGGATTAACATTTTGACGGCTGTAAACTGACATGAGGTGTGTTGTGAGCTGATGATCGTGAACACAACACATAACTTCTCATCATATGTTGTTTATTCCATCGAGGAAGGAAAGAAATATTGCCACCCTGTTATATCGATTAAAGATATTTGTCAAATTAGCATGAGATCTCATATCCTAGGGGAGCTCCAAAATCTAGTTTACTTTAATTGGTGAATAAATCGGGTGGATTTTAATATCATCAGTTTGATTTCAAAAGGCATAACGTGAAGTATTCACAGTCACAGTCATAATCACATTCAATTGGATTTTTACTAGATTTAATAAACAAGCATCTCAAGGATTGGGAGTAAAAACAGAATGGAAATTTTGACAACTATTAAGGATTAAAAATCCGTAGCATTAAAAATTCTTGAAGGATTTCAAAGTTGAATTAAGCTGTGTATTGTTTATTTTTGGGATGGACTGCATTTGCATCTTTGTGAGACTGTCTTTGCACAAAATGAATTACTCTTTGCCTTTACCCAGCTGTTCAGGAAAAATGAGACTATATGCACATCTTCTGTAATTAATTTTCTTCCTGCACAAAAAGCATTGTATTTGCTGTCATTGTTTGGGCCACACCTTCATCTTTCCGTCTCTCCAGACACGAGCCAGCCACCGGGTTAGTTTGTAAGGTAGTCAACCAGGTTTTAATGCCCTAGATGGCTTACTCTTAATACCCTGTGGCTCACTAGCAATTATCCAGCGAGGGATGCAGTTAACAGGCTATAGCGCGATCAACCAGACGCACCCAGGTTCAAGAGGAACGTGCAGTTATGGATATAAAGCTTTCAAGCTATTTGTGCTCCAAGATTATTCAGAAAGCCTTTACATGAGCAACATGCGCATGTGCATGAAAATGTAAAACTCTGTGTTTTGTTCTCCACAGGGAGTTGATGCCCAAGTCATCAGAGGGCCAGCTGACCATGGAAAAGACCCCCAGCTACTATGTTACAAGGGAAGTTCCAGCTCGGATCTACTCCATGTCCAAAGACACCAGGCTGATTGTAGTGGTTCGGGACCCTGTCACACGAGCCATCTCAGACTACACTCAGACTCGCTCCAAGAAGCCAGACATCCCATCTTTTGAGAGCCTGACTTTCAAGAACATGTCAGCGGGTCTAATTGACACTACATGGAGTGCTGTTCAAATTGGCATATATGCCAAGCACCTGGAGCGTTGGCTTCAGTTCTTCTCCATGGAGCAGCTGCTGTTTGTTAGCGGAGAGCGTCTCATTACTGACCCTGCAGGTGAGGTGGCTCGTGTCCAAGATTTTCTTGGACTCAAGAGGATAGTCACGGAGAAGTATTTCCACTTTAACCCAGCAAAAGGCTTCCCCTGCCTTAAGAGACCAGAGGGAAACAGCAAGCCACACTGCTTGGGCAAAACCAAAGGCAGGACCCATCCCAACATTGACCCGGAGGTTGTGCAGAGGCTAAGGGACTTTTATAAACCATTTAACAGTAAGTTTTACAAGATGACTGGTCATGATTTTGGCTGGGATTAAGAGACAGACTCAGGGTGAGCTCCTGCCTGGACTTTTTAAAATAGTATCATTCAGGTTATATTGTTCTATAGTGTCTGTACAGTATTTGGTGGTCTAAAAAGCTCAGAGGTCTATTTTATTATAATTTATTGTTATGATATTAACTCACTAAAAGGCTTGGCCAGGTTGTTTCATGGTCTGGTTTCCATGTCCCACTTGATGGTTTTTCTAAGAACAATCTTTTTTTTTTTTTTACATGTATTATGAACAAGGTCAATGTTATTTAAAAAAATATATGTATATTTTTCCTTTTTTGGATTATGTTTCACCTGAGGCCAATTGAAATCCACATCCACAACAAACGGGTAATATCCCCTTAACATTTGCCAGACCCACAGTGGACTGTGGACCCACTTAGTCAGGTCGATAAAGGCCCCAGCTGATCCAGCGTAACACACACAGGTGGATCAATACAGCAATAGCTCCTCATCATGTCAGTTAGACCTGAGTGATGGCATTGCTGTGATCTCTTGAGGATCTAGATAACATTGATCCGTCAGTGGCCGTGCGTTCACGGTTGACCCATGAGCCAAATTCAAGTTAATATAAGGGCCCTGCAATTTTCTTACTTAACCACCATTTTTATTATTGACCCAAGAGGAGTCCAGCCATCGTGCTGTTGGGGATGTTATTATCAGTTTTCCATAGAGCTGCTGCACAGGCTTCATAATGCCTAAACAGAAAATGATTTTCAGAAAGTTATATGAGTCCATGACATTTATTGATCTCTACTGAAATAGCTTGCATTGATCACTCTGTGCAGCTTTTTCCCTCCATCTGATAATTCTCTCTGTTTCCAAAACACATTGGTAGAAATAAGCATCTCCTTTTGAACTTTTTCTGACACCCGAGGAGAATTAGAATTGCCCCCCCCCCCCCCCCCCAAAATCCCCCCGGTAAGTTTTAATTTATGGTTGAGTTTTATTCAGCCTTGATAAACACAAATCACTCATCCATTTTATTATAATTCAGCTACAATGTGCAGCAGCAAGACTCTTGTGGGAGCACTATTTTTTGGTGTTTTTATTGATTTATTGTACCAGCATTGAAATGAAGCAGGTTTAATTGAGACACAGATCAAATGTGGAGTCATGTGTTTTGTTTTTTAAAATAAGAAATAAATATGTTTTTCAAAATTCAAATAATGTACCCCCTTGTTTGATATGCGACTTGTAAATATGAGGAGAAAAAAAAGAAGCTTTTCTTGAGGCTTAATGGCACATTTGCTTTTTTCTAATTCAAATTCTAATTCACAATCCTCCCATTACCTATATGCTCAGTTTGCACGTCTGGATCCCTGCAGGCAGAGGTAGAAGCTGTGTCTAATTTACCATTTTGTACATTGTTGAGCTAATTAGCACGGCATTGTTAAGTACTTTTAGCTGTCTCAGCCTCCCAGTGTCAACACCGAAAGGGTGTTATTACCATGGCATCAATGAGCACATATTGAAGTTTTACATCTGGGGAGAAGGGACAGAGACCGAGAAGTCTTTTTTTTCTCTGGGTTAGGAATCCATGAAGTACTTACACACACAGAAGTACAGTTTGAAGCACAAATTCACTTTTACTTTAGAAATACCTAACATAATATTAAAAATGTTATGTCATTGGGATTTCTGTGCCTTGTGATTTACTGTATTGAGTTACGTGAACTTTCTACAAGAAATCTGTTCCATCCATCACACAGAAAAGCCAGAGGTGATGCTTTGGGAGAGATACGAATCACCTCATACTATTAACAAACAACCTTTATTTAACTCTCCGCCAAAACACCCTCATTTACCTGAGGCTGCCAGAGGTGATGAAACTAGTCTCCCTGGTGGCAGGCGGGCTGTCTGATCACCCAGGAAGCCAGTCCCTATGCAATTAAAGGGGTAGAGGAGGAGTGCTGTAATTGCTCAGCTCCCAGCTGGGGAATTGCTGTTAGCATTCATCCCTCCAGGCTGTTGTAAGGGATGCTGCTGTTGTTTGAAGGTTGGGAAGATAAGGAAAATAGACACCTGGCAGCACAGAGAACTGACTGACTTTAAACATCCACTTGACAGCTATCACTGGGGAAAAGAATCCAAGCTGCCGAATGAAATTGGACGACGGTAAAATACCTCAGAAAAAGCAGAATGTTTGGTTGGAAAAAACTATGCACAGAAATGGGTCATTTGGAATGTTTTAGTGGAATGAACTCGTGACTTTTTTCAGCATGACAGCCATGTGGGAATGAACAAATGTGTTAATAACAATGGAAAATAATTAATTCCTTCTGTATTTCACTTTATTTTGGATGGGTGTTGAAAGTGAGTGATTTCGATAAATCTCTACAAAATCATCTTGCAAAGCTAACAGTTTTTTAAAATTATTATTGGTATCTTTTTTTTTTTTTTTTCACAGTTTTTGACTTTATATGATTTTAGCATCAGAACATGACAGCTGATGGAATGACAATACTGGGAATAACAGGACCAAAGGTGCCAGTCGGGCTCTGAGCCAAAAATAAATCTGTTGTGTGCTGTATGCCACAGTCTGCACCAACTGCTGATTAACTATACACACTTTATATTCAAAAGGTCAGGAGGGGACAGAGGTTACCCCGACTGACATTAACCAACACACAAGACAGAGGATGTGCAGTATATGACACAGTTCAGACAATTATTATACTCACATTTACTCCTGTAAACAATTTAAACATGTCAAACAGCCCAACATGCCACAATTTACCACCCTAGCATTAACATTGATGCACCTTGATTTGGGACCCAGCATACATTATTAATCCGCGTTCTTTGGTAAAAAATTGTTGTACTTGTTGAGAGATCAGGTCAGGATTAAAAAGGAGGGCCTCTCAGAACCAACAGACACAAAGAAACATGCAAGGTAACGTCGACTTCCAGTGTCAATTTAGGATCAGCATTTAATATCTCTGCTTTGGAAGGTGGGAGGAGGCTGGAGTTCCTGGAAAGACGTGTTCAATGAGAACAACCAAAATCTGAAAATGAATTTGTGTTAAGTAATTAACTCCATTCAGTCAATTAAAAATTATTCCATTATCATATTTAATAGGTTGGCATTTCCAATAAAGGCATGTGAAGTCCACAGAGGCTCCAAACCAGAGAGACAATATAGAGAAGATAATTATTCTCAGATACACTTTTTCTAGAGGATAATAAGACAATTGCCCTCTGCTCTGACCCTATTCTTTTTTAATTCCATTGTCTCAAACTTAATCCTAATCCGAAAGGAAGGGCAAGCATTAATCTGAGACAGTAGACTCTGGGTTGACATGTACGTGCTGACATAGCTAATCCAAATCTAATCCCCCTTCAAAAGGGCCTGTAAATTTGGTTTGAAACCAATTTGGATAATGTATCTTTACACAAATGATACTTACCAGTAAGGCAGAAGTTTCTGTAAACTATTTTTTTTCACAAAACACACACACACACATATACACATACACACACTGATGGCCTGTCAGGTCATATCTAATTGCTGTATTATTTGCTGTCAGATTCTGACATGTAGCTACTGTATGTCGACACCTCAGACTTGTAAATGCTCTGCGGCAATGGAAAACAGTTTGCCAAAACACACAGTATGACGAAACTCTTCTTCACATATTCCTGTTGAATTAACTATTGAGACTTCAGATAGCATTTGCCAAAATGCACAAAAGCCAAACTCACTCACATTTGACGAACAATCTTTAACAAAATTGAAATAGTTTTTTGGGTTTTTTTTTCAGATTATGAGATTATTGCTCACCATATGACACTCCTTTTGATCATAGTTTTAAAGTTCCTCAAGTTTTATTTCAATTTAATAGCAATAACTCTGTCAAGACTATTTTTCAGAATTTCCCTGATTGTGATTGAATTTTGTTATGTGAATATGAAAAGCTTGTGAAAACATGTTTTTGAGAGGGGAAAAAGAAACTGCAAAGACTGGAAGTTGCATCACCGCAGTGAAATCCGTTTGTTGTAACCAGAGATTCCCTGGAGAAGAGGCACGAAGAGAGTAGTGCCCTCTAACCAATCCAGGCTGTTCTGTCGTTAATGCTCATTCTGTGGTCTCTCAGTACCATTTACTGCAGTCGCCTGTCTGCCTGGTACTCCTTTTCAAATCTCCATTAGACCAGACCTCTCCAAAGCCATGCCACTGTAATGACTTTGCCTCGTTACCTCAGCATAGACACTCCCTGATCACAACATTTTCCTCCTGAAACACTGTGTACTGCCAAAGCACATTCAAAAGCAGATGTATAATTTATGTAACTCGTTCATTTCAACGTCCGACAAGCATTACGGAAATAATTTCCTTGTTTGAATTACGTTTTAGCACTCATAATTTTGGAATGGACCCTTTAAGAACACTTTAGTTGTTCGCTGTTATTGACTTAATCAGACAGCACCCGGGAGATTGGGATGCGCCCCACAGACATTTATATTTTCCTTTGTACCCTGTATAAGCAAAATGAATAGTTAGATTACCCTACTTCCTGCAGTGTGATTGATGCGACCCGAAACATTAAAACAATCCCAACTTAGTGTTGAAAAGACTACTATACACATGAAATAGAAAATAAATGGACTCGAACACAAATGGCTCAGATGTTAGATATGTGTTAATAATGCAATGCTCAAATTTGCTTAATGTTTTGGTCTCCTCAGAACAACCTTCTGTCTGAGTAGTGGTGGTGATAGCTCTCCTCTTTTCTAGCTGTTTGGGTCCTACACAGATCTTTTCCTTTTCCAGTCTTTTTTGCTAAATTATTGAACCAACTATCCAACATACAAAATCAAGACATGTGCCAACTGGATGTCCTACTCCAACTCCTCAGTCCTGTTGTAAATGGTAAGCACATGCTCAGGGATAGCAACATGGCTTCAAGGACTGCCAGTGCTGGGATCAGTTTAGCTGCTCCCGAGGAAAATGATAACAATAATGAGGGGAATTTATTCTCACTGTTAAAAGAAGTAGTAGTGTGATCATAGTACACTGAGCTCTGTGTAAATGATGATTATGATGGACGCTGTCATGAGCTTATTTTGAAAATACAAAAAAAATGCGACAAACTCTGCTTGGGACACCATTTGTTCATGGAAATGTGCAGTAAATGATGCTCATTAGGTATTTTTCAAGTTTCTGCTTGCAAACTGATATAATAATATCTTCCATAAAATGTTCTGCTGATCTCTGTTTGTAAAGACTCATTGGTTGTGTTGATGCAATGAAAATCTAATTTCAATTAATTTAACAGCTGAGTTTATCATAGAATAGACTAATAATATGTCTTAGGAAAAGCAGGTCAGAAGTACAAATCCTAACCAGGACATCTAGTTATAGCTCCTTATTAAATGGGCCAAAGAAAACTATTTTAAATACTTAAAAAATTATATAAATGCATCATTTGGCCATGTAAAATGTAACAAATAAAAACTGTGATGTGATGATTGAATGGCGTGCACACATTCTCATAACAGCTACAAAGTAAGGACTGGTACACACACACACAGACACACACACTTTGTTGTTAATGTCACCCCACATTCACTGTACAGGGACATTATTCTGACTACGTCCACTTATTAAGTTCACTCAGTTAAACAGTTCACATTCCTTTCCTGCGAAGCATTTTCACCAGCGAGTGACCCATAACTTGGAGAGTTCTGAGATGCTCTGTATTAGAAGAGACAAGGCAGAGTAATTCAATTAGTTCAGCTTTGTATGATGGAAGTATTATCTGCATTAGAACTTCACCATCATTTAGAAAATGCACCGGGATAAAATGTTATCAAGAGTGCCCATGGCATTTTGTTTTATGTATGTGATTCTCTTTGTCTTTTTAAAACCTGAGTCGACACGTGTGCATGGTGAAAAGAATGGGA